CGTTGGCTTTGTTGGAGTGGTTCCCGTCGTATAAGGGACTAATTAGGGGAAACGATTGGCCCCCCTCCCCCCAGTGGGGCGGGCGGCCAGCATGCGTGGGATAGGTGCGGCGGTTTGATAGGCAGAGGAAGTAGAGGCGATAATGACATCGGTACGAAAGAAGGGTGAAAGTCTCAGACGATGTGAGGTCCTCACGTCCGTCCGTCCATGGCGTAGATAATTGGTGGTGAACAAGAAAAAAATGAAACCGAGGGGAATTTTCGTGAAAGGTCTTTGTTGGAGTGGGACCCCGTCGTATAAGGGATAGTCTAATGCAGAAAAAAAACCGATTGCATCTGTTACATAAACTTGTACTGGAGGAGCAAAATGGTGAGGAGGTGGGCGAGGGGGGAGTGAGCTCGCCCACGTCATGATAATAACCAACCCCGGATTACGCAAGAGAGACTTCCCTGATGTTGCCCTGTAGCATAATAAATGCTTGGAACGACGATGAGTGGATCGAAAATGCCTGTTGAAGCGAGTGCGCCCGTTACTCAAAATGATGCTTGCATATGATATGCATACGATGACCGAAGACTATAATAGTGTTGAAACGGCAACAGCAGCAACAACAAGGAGTGCGCAGAATCGCCCTTACAAGTATAATAGCAGTCATCGCCGCCCACCCCTCCATTTAGCCTAGGGCTAGGAGCACCTCTGCTGCGTTCAATACTCCACAAAAAATGGCATTGTACGAATCTTCATATAAATTTCTACGTCGAAGAGACGAATTTCCGCGGCCGTCGCTCTTGTTGACGAAAAAAGCAAGCGCACGCATCATTGAAGGCCGGTGAGGTGTGTGATCCGGTTTCCCTCCACTCACTGAAAAGACTCCACCACATCCCGTTCGACTGTGGGTGTATCTCGAATGGGTAGTCTTTCTGTGTGTGTTTTTATTATTCCTTAATGTCCTACCGCCTCGTCATCGAGGACGAAAAGAAAGAAAGGAGTGTGGGCACATGGGCACCGAATTGCATTCTCCGGTATCCACACCGACCGCTCGATCCGCATGCGTGCCCCCAAGACTTTCGGACAGAGGGCGAAAAAAAATATCACCACACACCACCAAACTTTGGCAAAGAGGCCAGAGGGCGGGTGCGAATGGTACAATTCGGGTCAACGGCCAGGTTTAACAGTCAAAAGGAAACGCGATTGTTTGATGGGATGCTACGCGAGAAGTGCAGTGACTAACCAGCCGCTTCTTCTGCCAGATATTCTGCGACACACGACTGACTGCCAGTCTTCGATAAATCTTTCTGGACAAGGAAAACTCAACCGCGAGAGACGACAAGTAACCGCGTACTATGCGGCCTGCTGCTCTCGGCACATTATTTTCAGAACGCGCGGACCACAGCAAGGAGGACAGCAGCAAAAGGCGTGTGGTATGCGAATAAATCAATCCATCCAGCTGCAAGCTGGCGGCAAATCTTTATTTACGACGACTGGCGTTGTGCGTGAAAGACGCATCTCTCTCTCTCTCTCGTCTGTATGAGAACGCACGCGTGCTGGGTCAGGTCGGGGGAGAGGGTCCCTATCGCAAGGCACATCGACAAGCCGTAGGATTAGACTCCGATCTGCTGCGAGAGAGAAGTTATCGAAAAAAAAGGTGTTGGAAAAAAAAAGAAAGACGAAAGCCCAGCATCATCCATCATCTGGAGGATGGATCGATACGATTTGCTTTGAGTGTGTGTGATGGTGATCGATAAAAAAATTACTTCCCCCGTTCCGTTCTCTGCGCCGGGACAGAACATAAAGCAGCCTGTATTCTTGCCTGTCTGTCTAAACACAGCTCGTTGTTGAAGCAACCTAGTGGGCTGGGAAGGGTTGGGAGGTGTGTCCGTCCGGGGAGAGATGAGCGGCTAGCAATCGTTGTGACAAAGGAGCAAGACACAGATTTCTCTCTCGGGTCGATTTCATCAGCAAGCCTCTGTTGGTTTATACATGGTGGCAACAAGTACCACCATAATATCCAACGTGCGCCAACAAGTCAACAACAAGTGGTCATGCACAAAACACACACACACGACCGACGGTAGCGTAGCACAGCATAGAAAAGGAAGGCGTGCACGCGTAGTAGCAGTACCTGCTCAAGGAGGGTCGGGGGTGACTTCCCAGTGGGGGGTCTGTTGTGTCCGGGAGTGTTGTTGTTCTCCATTGGGGCAAGGTTGATGTTGGTGGTCACGTGGCTCGGGGATATGGTGTCGCCGGTCTTCTCTGGAGGGTATCCTGTCGAGCGGTTGCTCTCCGATCTGTGCGGCGTTGTGGTGGTAGCCTGTGTGGGATCCGCGGGCGGCGTGCGTGGGTTGTTGTCGTCAAGAGAGAGGGCGGAGCGGTTGGGCACTTTCCAACGAAAGCCCAAAAAAAATCCCAACCGGACACCACAGCAGCAGTCGCCAATCCCGACACCAACAGAAGAAAAAGACGATTATATACAGTACTCCAGTCACTTTTTATTAAAAAAAAAAAATAGACGCTCTCGTTTCCCCCCCCCCGCAACACTCACGAGGAAGAGGTTGCCTGATCCTCGCGGCGTGGTTCGCTTCGTCGCCTTTGATGCGCCTCCGGTTGAGAATATGGCCATCGCTCGCTGTGCAGCTCTAGGATCTGTCGTCTCTCCCCTTCACCGGCGTTGCTCTGCTACAAGCAGTAGGTGTGTCAGATACGATAGGCTCCGACAGCAGCGCCTAGCACGAAAAAAAATAGGTAAACCTGCGCCTGGGGCCCAAAAAAAGAATCCGTTTGGGAGTGAGGCGGCGGGCGGCTGTACTGCTGTAGATCGTTGGATGTTCGCCTTATCCGTGTATCGGTCTCCGCTTTTTCTGTCCTCTCTCCAAGCAGCGGGATAGCAGGCAGCAGCAGCAGCAGCGACAACAGCGGCAGCAGCGTCGTTGGTGTGGTTGTTGCAACCGGAGTGGTGATGGATACCGTTGGCGGCGGCGGTGACGGGGCGGGTTCCAGGCGGAGAAGGGGGGGGGGTGAATGTGTCGGGCAAAGCTTTGGTATGCCACAGCTAGTACGTCGGATCTTTAGGAATCGCGGGGGAGAAACGCTCGCCGATGATTGGCTCTGCGAATGGAGAGTTCAGAGTTTGCAAGCTGCGCTGATCGATCTGGTGCCGTTTCGCGAAATCACTTGGGAAAACAACACACACGCACGACAAACAGCAGCATGTATTATTCGCATCTTTCCATCTAACAACTTCTCTGCCGATATGTGTGATGATCAGCGATGTCCGCATCCGTCCGTGTTTTCAATCATCCGCGCCGACAACACGCACGTTGGGTCGCGAGAGCAGTAACCGCGTGGACCTCTTCGTCGTTCCGTGGAAAATGAGAGAGGGGCGGGCAGGTGCGGAAAACAATGATACGACCGCTGTGCTGCTACAACTGCGGCTGTTTCAGACGACGGAGGTGTTTGAAGAGTTCATTTCTCATTTCCATTCACACATCGATAGAGGTATGTAGCAGCAGCACGGGGGGCGTGAGTTTGAATGCGCATCTTGTTCTGGGAGGTGTATGTTGCACGACCGCGGAGATTGTTTTTTCCTTTGATTAACCGTTGCTGTGCTGCCTCATACAACAGCAAACTTGTTGTTGAAGACGAGGCAGAGGGAAAACAGCACAGGCAGGTGCGCAGGTGCCACACATGTATGTGAGGTCGCACAAACGAGTATGTACGACAACAGCGCTGAGGGTCAACGTAACCAAGTATGGTCCGCACACAAGTAGTGGCAAATGTATCACGCAGCGCCAAAACAATTCTTGGAAAATTCTCCCCTGCTGTTATCTCCCGAATCCCCGATCCAACTCGCCCGGTTGTGTCCGTTCGTATGAAACGGACAGACACATTTTTTCGGATCCCTCGCGCACTCACGAACCACATATGTACGACATACGAACATCATCACGATCTTCTACACATTTGCGCCGATTGTGCCCAAAAGGAGGACTATTTTTTTTTTTTATTTCATCAATATGACCCAACGAATCCATCTCTATCGAAGTCTAAGATACCCATATGCGTGCGCGTTCTTGGTCCACACTCTGTTCGATTCCGCTACAAATCAACCCGTTGTTGGAACACACCATCGCGGGTAGAAGATCGATGGTCAGTCTCATGAGTCGTGGCTTCACACAGCTTTGATCCCCGTTGTACTGGAGATCTTTCATGATCACGGCGACGTCGTGTGTGTATGTATGTGTGTTGTGCGACTCTGTGGCAGCACATCGCAATACTATTAAATACTGGGTCCCTTACAATGCGAGCATCAACCATCATCGTGGCCCTGTTCTGTGGCACTCGGTGTGTGGACTTGCACGCTCACACGGCGGTAACAACATGGGGTATTTGTAGACCAACAAGATAGTATTCAACACTTTGTTCGTGGCAATACGGCGGTGGCAAGGCCGATATGGCGCGTCTCGGAGGATATACTGCTGTGCACGCACGATGCATAATCTGTAGTTTGAACCGATCGCAATCAATATCATACCACCTATTAATAGCAGTTCTGCAGTCTACAACTACTAATATTGTCCTCGCCAGCATTTTCCAGAAGCATTTACTTGCTGACTGATGTACACCCGACAATATGATACCATCTTCACGGTTGCCCCCCCCGTATTCCTGCTGCTTGCGTCACGAACTTGCATACAGGAGGGAACCTACGTCGGGGAGACGAAGGGAGGCGTGCGTGAGGGCAGGGGGCGGCTTGTGTGGTCAAACGGGGACACATACCTGGGAAACTTCCACAACGGACTCCGACATGGTCAAGGTACAGCTATTTTCCGACTGCTACTACTATGTACGCAGTACTTTCAATAAGTACATGTCGAAGTGTACCGGCGACCCCAGATGAAGATGAAGGTCGATGCTGCTGTAGCACAAGACATCGAAGAACGCGCTGAAAGAAGGGGGGAGGGAAAATAAGGGACAGCAAGATGAGGGAGGGAGGAGGGGCAAACGGAGGGCGGGAGGAGGGAGGGAGGGAGGATGAAAGAAGAGTAGCATGGGGTGTGTGTACTACAGACTGCAGCGGAACACACCACGAAACCACGCCGCCCACGGCGTCTTTCATGCTCCGCAAAGAAGGGAAACCAAGGCGATGCTTGCCGCACTACATCATAGGTTTGTTGCATACGGCCGGTTTCGGAACCACCTCCTCCGTACAGAACGTCATTCTCCGCATCATCAGTCAGCCTTTGGATACACCCCTCTCATAATAGCCTATTTTTTCCACGAGCCGCGAAGCCTGGCCTGGGACTGCTACGAAAGCAACGTGAACAATCGGTTCCTGCACAATCTCGATAAGTGTGCATAGCAGTGAGTAGAACGGTCGGTAAGGAACGCAACGCGCGCGCTTCCCTCATTTCCGTCTTGCCGTGCGGTGCCTCGTTCAAGACCTACCTACCTTCACATAATATTGATTGCGTGATTTGAATGCTTGAGTCTTCATGGGATCACAAAGTTCAATCGATAGTACTGACTAGACTACAAAACACCAAGATCACAACGGATTTCATGGTTGGCGTAAAGCAGGAGTCTTCGAATCGAAACGAGGCATTCGGTACGAGGGCGAATGGCGCGTCAGCCGCCGGCACGGCGAAGGGTCCCAGGAGTGGCCCAGCGGAGAACGGTATAATGGGGGCTGGAGAAACGACACGCCGGACGGCCGAGGCACCTGGCTGAAACGCGGCGGAAGGTAATAGACTAATTCGTGGGCTTACGACACCAAGACCGCTGACAACTTTTGTGCAGCTTGTTGTGGTGACCTCAGCGTACGGATTTTCGCTGCACGCGTACCAGCATACCAGGCGCTTGTGATTGTTTGTTGGCGTGGTAGTCTGGTGGTACACAGGGATAGTGCAAAGTCGGCCGGTTCTACGCCGCCGGTGTCGGTCAACATTGGGGGGCTAGCTTGCCACGGTAACGACGCGCCGCCTGAAAAAACTCAAACAGATACGCCGGTGATCTGCGGGAAGGGGTGAAGCACGGCAAGGGTGTCCTGAAGCTCAGGAACGGGGGAGAGTACGACGGCCAGTGGGCCCGAGGACGGATGGAAGGCTTCGGGGTCTACATCTGGCCCGACGCTAGGATCTACAAGGGGGAGTGGGAGGCCGGCCTGAGGCACGGGGAAGGGACCCTCTCTTTGCCATCCGGGGAGAGGTGGGTCAGCCGGGCGGCTCTCTCGTGAACCATTGTACATCGCGTTGCAACCAAGAGTCTTTTAATTACATGTAACGAACAAGGGGAAACGGGGGGGGCTATGCTATCGCTGGAGTAATACACTACGATCGCGGTCTTCATCCTGACAGGAGACCCCCCTGGCAAGGCAGCATCCGTGGTGTGGGGTGTGGAGGCAGGCAGGGCATGTCAGCCTGCAGTCTCTCGTCGGTGGGAGATGATCGTCTGGTTGTACATACATACACGAGAGAAGAAAAGCAACAACGTAGACTACAGGCGTGGTTCTTTTCTCTATTGGACGCACTGCTGTCCGGGAGTTTCTAGAAACTGTTGTTCCAGAGACTAATCCGGAGACTAATCCGGAGACTGATGCAGAGACTGATCCAGAGACTGATCCAGAAACTGATCCAGAGACTGGTCATCAGCGTGGGAAGGCAATCGACATGACAGCCCCCTTTTCGTGTGACCCACACCGGGTGCTTTGTATGCACCCACACATACCAGAGGGTTGTGGCGTACACGTCTTTGCAAGTGCCGCATTTAACGTGGCCCTCTGCGGCCAAGTTACATTTTCCCATCATCCATCTCACGGGAAAGTCTGTGGCTGTTTTTGTCTCGAAACAACCGTGAACCCGACCTGGCTCCAAAACGATTGAACAGGCCGTCACGCACGCACGATGTTCAAAAAATTTTAAAAAAACGGTTGTACATGGAGAGAACGGCAATGAAATATCATCTAAAGACGTTGTGCCGCAGGTAGCAGGACGCCGCCACAGGCTGCACGCTGATGATTCTCGGTACACCGCAGAATGAAGCCACGACGTCACCACGTGCGGATCGGCGAACATGGTTGTTTACACACGTGTGTGATGTCACTTTTGTCTATCGTCTCGCACGAACAAATCAGGTACAGCGGGCAGTGGAAGGCAGGGAAGAAGCACGGGGAGGGCGTGTGGAGGTGGAGCAACGGACGAACAAGGTGGCGTGTGGTGTGTTGGCGTGCACGGGTGTTGAGGAAGGCTGACACGTTGCTTGTAGGAAAAGCCTCGCAATGCCTCCGGCGGTGCCGGTACATGCTTGGTTCCCTGCCTTGTCTGGCCGCAGAACCCCCCAGCCCCGCCCCGGTTTCGCAATGAAAACCTGCAGGGGTGGTATGCGCTACAGCAGTACTGAAATTGCGCCATCATGCTCACTACCATGAACACCCCCCGATCACGACCACCACCACCCCTCCCTGCCACAGGCGAGGCGAGTGGCATAACGACGTGCTGGTAGGGTGGACCAGCGCCGAGGTCTTCGGAAACCAGCCCCCAAAGCTGATAACGGCGGGCGGCGGCGGCGGTGAGAGTAGCCCTAAACGACGCGGCCGCGGGGACGACGGCAGCAGCAAGAGTCCGAAGAACGCAGCGGCGGCCACCACCGGCAACAAGAGCGGTGCTGGCACTACTACGAGCCCGGCGAGGGCAGGTGTCAACAGCGGCAGTGGCAGCAAGAGCGGTAAACAAGAAGGAGCGAATCGATACAACAACAGCAGTGGTGGTGGTAATAGTAGTAGTAGTGGCCCGAAAGGAACGGGAGGCGGCAGGAAGGCGTTGACGAAGGGAAGCGGCGTTTCGGGGAGAGGGCCGACGGATGGTATCGGCGGCAGCAGCAGCAGCCCGACGACGACGACACGGCGGGCAAACAAAAGTAGTAGTAAAAACCCAAAGCAATAGCCCGTGGGTTGTCGCTGCTCTGCTGCATGGGTCCAGTGGAGGGGTTGTAGTCGGACTGTAAGAAGTTACTTTGCGTTGTTGTCGAGCTCAACTTCGCACTCTTCGGAGGCGGTCGGCACCTGGCGTTTCGTTTGCTATGCCGGCAAAGAGATTGTTTTCCGAGAAGAACAATTGGAGACCACTACAACTGTCAACCATCTTCCTGGTGCGCGATTGCCCTGTACATCTTGGCCAGCTCGCCGATCCTCTCTCCACTTGTACCTTACGGAAGCTGGACTCGTCACTTGTCACACCTTGCTCGCTGACTGGGGACACACCTATTCGGTTTCCTCTTCAGTTTTTATAACAAACACTTGTAGCCCCAAGCAACACCAACTATTATACTCCTCGCGTAGGAGAGATAGACCCTTGCACAGTACCACACAAGAAGAGCACCCCCCCCCCCAC